CCCTATAGCGATGGCCTCCAACCTAATAGCGGTGCCTCCCACCTAATCGCCATGGCCCCCACCTATTAGCGATGGCCTCCAACCTAATAGCGATGGCCTCCCACCAATTAGCGATGGCCTCCAACCTAATTGCGATGGCCTCCAACCTAATAGCAACCTCCAACCAAAGAGCGATGGCCTCCAACCCAATTGCGATGGCCTTCAACCTAATATCGATCGCCTCCAACGTAATAGCGATGGCCTCCAACCCAATTTCGATGGCCTCCAACCTATGGCCTCCAACCAAATACCGATGGCCTCCAACTGAAATAGGGATGGCCCCCAACCCACTTGCGATGGCCTCCAACCTATGGCCTCTAACCTAGTATTGATTGCCTCCAACCTAATAGCGATGGCCTCCAACCTAATATCGATGGCCTCCAACGTAATAGCGATGGCCTCCAACCAATAGCGATGGCCTTCAACCTGTGGCCTCCAACCTAGTATTGATTGCCTCCAACCCAATTGCGACGGCCTCCAACATCCTCCAACCTAATAGCGATGGCCTCCAACCTAATTGCGATGGCCTCCAACCTAATTGCGATGGCCTCCAACCCAATTGCGATGGCCTCCAACCTACCTGAAGCTTCCTTCCTTCGCTGCCAAAAAAGCGCTCGTTTTGCAATAGTGCTCGTTCAAGCAAACAGCGCTGTTTCAAACACTCAAAAACGCACATGGATCCCTCTCATATCCAACATGGGTTTGGGTGGTTCGCCACATTGTAAATTGCGCTCGTTTTGCGGCAATTTGTGCGCGTTTTGCCGCATTTTGCGCATTTTGCAGGTTTCCAGGCCCAAGAAGACTTCAGTGTTCAACTTGAAAAAAATGCGTGTTTCATTGTTTCATCAAACAAGTTAAAAAGTGTCGTTGGATTTAAAAAGGACAAAAAGCTACGAAACTGCAAAAAGTGCTCATTTCCTTTGTTCGCCAAAAGAAAGTGCTGCGATTGAAGGTTCAGGTAGTATTGATAGCCTTCAACCCAATTGCGATGGCCTCCAACCAATGGCCTCCAACCTAATATCGATGGCCTCTAACGTAACAGCGATGGCCCCCAACCCAATAGCGATGGCCTCCAACCTAATATCGATGGCCGCCAACGTAGTAGCGATGGCCCCCAACCCAAGTGCGATGGCCTCCAACCTAATATCGATGGCCTCCA